CTGAACTTGAGAAGGAGATATGTTACGACGTCGTGTTGGTGTTTCGTCATCACTGCCGTCGTCGTGTTGACGTGTTTTTACGGCGCCGGTACAAAGCCTCCCAATGTGGCAACGTTTCTTGGCAGTGCTTGTGTTTTTGTGGTCATGTGTCGTTACTCTGCCTGTGCCGAGGCTATCCACGTGGCGACATCCTGTTACAACGCTTGTGTCGGTGTCGTAGTCGTTCTGACGTTTTGTTGTTCTTACATATGACGGGGCGGTGGTTAAAGCGTTCGCTCGTCACGCCGGGCTCGGTCCCCCACATGGGTACATATATACTATACGGTCACATGGCTAAGAAAACAGAGCGCACAAAGATGGGCGATGGTGACAGGAAGCTATGTACAACTATCCATATAGTGATGTACAGCTCGGGGCGGTCGGGTAGACTAGTGGTTAAAGCGTTCGCACGTCACGCCGAAGACCCGGGTTCGATTCCCGACATGGGTACATTGTGTGAAGCCCATTTATGGTGTCCCCAGCCGGAATATTTTTGGAATATTGCTAAAAGCGGCGTAAAACCATACTCACTCAGTCACTCATACATGTTACATTTGTTTAGGGCACCCTAGCTATTGTTACCAATCTGATGACGTATTTCGAAGGTTGTGTTGTCATGACGACAGGTCGTAAAGGTATGCATGATAATATTTCGTGCTGTGGTTGCCGACGTATCGGGGCATATGTACAAGTGCAGCACATGTTTAAGATCTGGCGTCCCTGCAAATCATATATCCAGCAGTATTAGCCAAGAACGAGTTTTCTGGATTTATATGCAAACAACCATGCATGCCGTTTGACTGAAATTAATTTTGCAAATCAATATAATTAGGAAATATTTATAAAAGGACAATATGTGTGTCCAGTAAATGAATTGTGAAGAAAAAAATAATTCAAACGTTCATTTTAAACTACAGTTTGGTGGTTTCTATTGACTGTTCACGCACTTCAACACATCTCCCAACGCTGCGTTTGATAACCTTAACTTATCGACAAAGACTGTCGCCCGTCACGTTTTGCTGGAAGAGATCAACGTTTATTGACCCGACAATTCTTCTACAACTCCATTCCAGCATATCCTCTTAGAGATAAGGTCAGGGGTCACAGTTTGACGTATCTGTGATCTCCACATTGGTCGGGCGACATTATTACCTGTGACTTGCTATTACAACGTTTTACGGTCCCACAAAGGCAATCGATTACTCGAGGGTGAAATATTGAGCTAGCGGGATTACGTTCCCTCGCGTCTTATCCATAATTCATAAGATAAGAAAGCCAAGGGTTAACCAACGCTCTGGGATCGCAACACAACATGTCGGAACAGAGTGAGGTAGAGGTTCCTTTGTGCTCGCAACAAATGGCTCCGGAACAAGAAATAAGCCACCCAAACCACGAAAATGCTCTGGAAACTTTGCGTCCTGAGTATGTAAGTACGTCCTGGACCAATTATATCGACGACTTTTTGATTGGGTCAAACCATGTGTCCGACGCGGCAATAATCGAGAAATGCAGTGGTCAGTATCTTGCCTCGACTCCTGGGTTTGAGATTTATGAGGATGAGTTTGAAGAGCTCAGTCGGAGTTTGTGTAATGCTGAACTTGCTTATCGCAGAGGAGTGACTTTAGACAATAAGCATTACCAGACTAGACTTGCTGACGGCTCCCGTGGAATATATGCTCGGACCGCCAGCGATGGGTGTTCGGTGTGTCAGACCTCTTGTCTCGTCATCATTGGCGTTAGTGACCACAAATGCAAATCTAAACGTTGTAACGAGGAGGTGATGCGGCTAGGGGACTATCTTTTGTCCAAAGGGATGTGAGTAACTTATGACATCGGTTCGGATTGTATTAACGACCAGAGTTTGTTATAACTCGAAAACATGACAGTGACGTTGAATGAAGCGGAAGGAGTCTACAACCTTGCCACACAGGTAGAAGTCAACCTCTAAGTCAACTCGGCAGATAAGGACGTCATGATAAGAGGAAGTGGGGCATAGTGAATTGTCTCTACCGTTGCCAGGATGTTTAGAATGCTGGGCGAAGAGTGACGGGTGTTTTTTTGTGTGTTGTCGGATGGAATAGGGTCCTACTTCAGTAGGTCCCACTGGACATCTCTTCATTATATCAGTACGGTAATGTTCACTCACATTTCGACATGTATTCACTGTGATGGTGAGGTGAAATGGGGTTTAACGTCGCGTCCAAGATTATTGCACTTATATACCGACGTGCATGCACGTGTATGTGTGTGTGTGTGTGTGTGGCTGCTTGTACTAGTCCGGACTGATGCCGATTTATAGTGCTAGTTCACTGAGATACCATGCCGCAGTTTAACACGAATACCCCACTCAGACACAGTATACTGACTCCCAGTCCTTGTTTTAGTTCCTTCATGCCGAGCGCCAGACAGGGAAACAACAAGTACCATATTTTAACGTCTTGTAGTATGACACAGCCGGGGATCGAACCCCGGACCTTCCGCTCTCCGGGCGGACGCTCTACCACTACACCACGGAGACAGGCTCACTGTGACGGAAGGTCGTGGACACCCGCCGTGAGGAAACATCCAAGTCCAGATTCACCCCTATGAACCGTGCCTAGAACTATTCAATCACCGAGTCACCACCCAAGACAGATATCCACCATGAAGAGACACCATATAGACTATGCAAATGCTGGGCTCAGTTCCAAGGACCTATATACGCTATAATGAGAATTTCAAAAACCTCTGGAAAGACAGTCGGAAGGATACAGGACATATAGCCGCTCTTGCGTGCGTTCGACAGACATATATGTTTTACCATGAAGTCTTGACCATCAAGTTTCCACAGGACCCTTATGATCAGTTATCTCCCTTGCCTCGGGAAGATGAGCGGCTAAAAACAAAACAAACAAAAAATTGTTGTTCGATGGTGCTGTATTTCATAAGGGTATCCGAGTTGTGTTTTGGACCTTAAGTTGGCAGTGTTTCGGCGACTGTTTTCAGCCTAGTAACGTTTAGATAACATTTGTAGTTGTTAGGTCAAATCCAATTTTCAAGTGTATACTTTCTTTTGCCCGTCAGTTTAGTTAATGAAGATAGGTTGTAGGACTTTCAATGAAACAAAGACTTAATAAGAAACAACAACATACATATATACAAAGGAGTTTTGACAAGCACGAATATCTGGACTGTTTTTTTTGTATATTTTATCTATCTATCTATCTATCTATCTATCTATCTATCTATCTATCTATCTATATCTATCTCTCTATCTCTCTCTCTCTCTATATATATATATATATATATTTATATATATATATATATATCTCTATCTCTCTCTCTCTTTCTCTCTCTCTCTCTCTCTCTCTCTCTCTCTCTCTCTCTCTCTCTCTCTCTCTCTCTATATATATATATATATATATATATAAATATAAACAGTAAATCGCCGAGTCTATGTAGAATGTTTACGGTATATTAGAACTCTAGGCTTGTAATCTGAACAGTCCTCGCGCGGCTCGGTCAATGTGATCTAACACAAACAATGTCTGGTGCTATATGGGCAGAGTGTGAATGTACCAATCATGTGCAGAGCTGTAGCCCATTTAAATATCCAGGACTCAAATATGTTTGAATTGTTTTTGTAAATAATGTCCTTAATGTGAAACAAACGAGTGGTTTTGTAATGTTCACAACTTAATAGGTTCCTAGTTCCCTACTGGATTCGCTTTATGTTTTGATTTAGCAAATGCAAAAATATGATTATTTCTACCACACAGTATTGGTTTCACGTTCCGGAAAGATGATTACGATCATCAATGCAAATTACAGTGTGCGTCTATTCAAGAGCCTTTCCCCTACTTGAGTTTGCATGCGGAACGAGCTTTAAGGGGGTTAATACTTCGAGTCAGCGCATATACTGCTCAAAAGAAGTCAATTCTTGACATATTAACTATAGAAATATGAAACAACCGGGTGGTCCTTAACTTCTTTTGAGTAGTATATTTGATCTAGACATAACTACCTTTAAGCCTGGCACTAGGTATATACTACCATTGTACGTGTTTGTATATGAGCTATAACAGCAGTGGCGTGACGACGGCTTTGTTCACACTTAGTTATATCATATGAAAACTCAACAAAGGTAGGCAAAGTGTATTGTATTTTTGATAAATATTTTTATCTGCAATATTAACAAGATGCTTCAATGTACTTGCTATTATAAGTTCCGCGTTGATAGCATTTTGATATTTGTTGAATACGGACAGACGAATTGCAAATTGTGTTTGTATTATTCTTTTATCGGCAGATAAAATACATACACAGCAGAGATGTGACTTGGTCTAGCGTTGTAGGGAGTCCGCCAACCGAGGCAGTTGTGTTAGAGAGTCGTCAATCGACGTATTGAATGAACTCTCGAGCGCCTTGCTGCTGATTCTTATTGAAGGAGCTCTCCACCCCTTGGATATATACTACTAAAACAAAGTTAAGGAACACTCCATTATTTTATATTACTAAACATAATCTGTTATTGAGTGTCAATACAAATATAAAACAACCGAGTGGTCCTTAACCTTTTTTTAGCAGTATAAATAACCATATTGGTTTGGGGTCAAACGTCTGTCGGGTACGGTGGCCCATAAGGGACATGGAGTCTGTTTTTCCATATTTTGATGTTTCACTTACTTTTATCGTAACCTTTAGCAAATTAACACAATTTATTATACAAATATGTAATAAATCATGTATAAAAACAACCGAAAACATGGAAAATGTACTTTCAGTAGCTATTGAATCGCTGAAATGTGAAGCGAAAATGTCAAAAACTAAAATGGAAATGTCAAAAACCAAAACGAAAATGTCAAAAACCAAAACGAAAATGTCAAAAACTAAAATGAAACCACAGAAAACTATTTCCACCGCGGGGGGGGGGGGGGGGGGGGGGGGGGGGAGGGGGGTACAGTACTTATTATTTAGGTCTCTGTTGTTATTTTGTTATACTTTTAAAGATAGGCCATTGGCGTCAGGTTTTGCGTAACCTCAGGTTTTATATAACAGTGTTTTACACGTCATGTCGTATAATGAGTACTAGTACCCCATTGAACAAACGTTTTATACACAATTTATGACGTACCTCAGTGTATAAACATGTCATACACGTCATATGCTTTTATTCTGTTCCCCAGTGTACAATAGTATGAAACACCTCATGTAATTTCATGATATATCTGGGGAACGGGTGGCCAGAATTGGCTGTGCTGAGTTGCCTCCCTTAGGTGCGCCAGAAACCTAATATCGTGTTCGAATCCGGTTCGCCCTGAGTATGTTTCAAGGTTTGTCAGCACCGTACCCGTGTTCGTGGGTTTCACCAAAGTGGTAAACGTCTGAGACCTGTATCCATTGTGGGCTTTCCTCCCACATCAAGCTTACACGCCGTTATATAATAGAATATTGTTCACATCCGCGTTAAATACAATTCACTTCCTTAATAATATACCACAGTCGGCATACGCATGTAGGATATGGTGTTAAACAATGACCATATTTATTGTGCTGTAACAAGACACCATTTTATACAGATATATGAAAGGGATGATGATAAATCAATTTCTCTGTAATCACGATAAACATTATCACCGCCGTAACCATACAATGAGGAAAATATGATTTTCATCCGGCGAGATAATCTCAATATTTTATCATCACGTCTACCCTGTTCTGCTTTTATAAATGTGAAATCGTGAATAGGGTGTTAACAAGCGCCCACAGTCGCAGTGACACAACGCGAGAAGTAAAACGGATATCAACGTTGTCCCTCCTGGGTGGGGCCTGTTTATCAGTCAGTGTTGGTAATAAATAACTCACTTTCAATACCAACTCAGCCACGAGGAAATGCACTCACTGTTTTGCTGTAGCGTTTGTTAAAAGTGTTTACTGCATCGCTGTCACTGCATGAGACACGATCAAGGTACGTAATATAATGTTGACATAGGCTACGGGTATTGTGCATGACAAAATATTTACGCTATTACACGGCATCGTTGTTGCCGTTTTATACACAACTTTTAGTCCTGATGTTACGAGTTGGGATATCACGAATGTTCGTTATAACACCCAGGTCATATACCTGGTGTGAAGAATGGTGGGTGATTAATCCGTTCTTTCACCTCCTTATCGCGGGACACGTTTGAGATTTACAGATTTTGTCAAATCGAGATTTATTTTACTTTTTATTATATTTATAGCTCATTTACATAAAACTTCTTCGCGAATTTTAGAAATGAATAAAGTCTAATTGAGCCGGCCTGCCATTAAATAATTGGCTGCAAAAATGAGGTTCGATATCAGTGGTGTGAAAAACACGTCACCATGGTATATATTTAATAGCACACCAGCACGGGTGATACCAGGTGATCACTCATCGAAATATTGTCCACGATCAGCTGTTTTCTCTTTTTTTTGATAGTATGGAATACTAGTAGTTGTTATGTTCTGTCTTACAGACCCTGATACAAATATATATCAAATACAGCCCATGCAAGTCTATAATGTTTGGCAAGTCTAGATCACTGCAGTATCTGAAAATGAAGAGTCACTGGGCTCCTTTTTATTTTATTTTTAATAAGATAACTGAAAAACTGTTTTTTCTGTACGGGATGTTCATTTCAGAGACTATAGCTAGATGTTAGTCGAATGCCATCCCTAAATCTTTTTTAATCGATATTATCTGTCTCGGTCTCGGTTAGGCCGAATTCTGTGTGTCACGAAGTCCGCATATGGGTGTACAACAACATTATCTGTCTTATACCCAACTCACGTTATAGCGGTTATTTATACTCTATATACCGTCTATATATATATGCCCCGTTGAGACCATGTTTACGGCAACTGAATAGGCCCCGAGCACACTATAACTTGTTATAAAAGGGCGACTAGATTGGAGCGGCTAAATTACGTGTTATCGTACAGACTTGTCACGTTGCTCCTAATGTCAACCACAGGCTTGTAATGTTGCCAACTGCCGCGTCAAATAACAAACAATCAAGAAGAATCAATCTTCGAAGTCAATCGATTTCATCTGTCCAAATCTCCAACTGAGTACCAGAACACACTGGTCACCATTCTAATCTCTTTTCGTGATACAGTCTTAAAGTGACGTGATTTTCTACCCTAAAAATCAAATAGGTATTTCCTGGGAGAGAGGTTTTCCCTGTAAAAATCTATATTCAACTATCAAACAGAAAGCGAAAGCGGTGTAATACATACGTTGTTAATTCTGTAACACGTGAACGAATATCAGATATTTTGGATAGGATTTAAATGAGAAGTAATAAAATGAGGACGCTCCTATGATATCTGTTAACACATATATGTCCAAATTAAAGTACATTCTAGTTCGACAAACTTCAAACAAACAATCCCCATCGTTTGACCGTTTGATTTATCTATAGGATTATTTTTTTTAAAAATACTGGAAAAGATAAAATGCATAAAAATATTTGTTCCCCTAATAAGATGTTTTAAAAGTATGCATTGAAAAATAGTATGACCCTGCTTCTCCTTCAGATCACTGAGACCAAAGTGATGGCATAAATCCTGCCGGGAATCATGCAGGAAGCAAAAGCCCTGTAAGTCCCCATGATCCCCAGTTAGGTGGTCTAGCTTTGGTTGCTAGTGGTCTATAGCCTGGTTTTAATTTATAGGAAATAATCTGCTTAAAAATTCTTTTTTTTGTTATTGCTTAGGTTTGTTTTATATCTAAACGATGATATTTACCTTACTGTTTTACTGTCCTTTGTCGACAGGTCTTTAATTGTAGAAACTACCTTGTTCTCATCGCGATATGGCTGCAATATTGCCGATGCGATGTAAAATTTTAACTCACCCACACTCACTCACTCTCACTAACTGACTGATTGACTCACTCACTCTCACTAACACACTCACTCTCATTAACTGACTTTCTGACTGACTGACACAGTAGTCATATCGCCACTCAAGCCAGGGGTGAGGTGATATGGGGTTTAACGTCGCGTCCATGATTATTGCACTTATATAGCGACGTGCATGTGTGTGTGTGTGTGTGTGTCTGTGTGGCTGCTTGTACTAGTCCGGAAGGATGCCGATTTATAGTGCTAGCCCACTGAGATACCATGCTGCAGTTTAACATGAATACCCCACTCGGGCACAGTATACAGACTCCGAGCCGACCAGTCCTTGTTTTAGTCCCTTAATGCTGAACGCCAGACAGGGTAACAACAAGTACCATCTTTAAACGTCTTTTGGTATGACACGGCCGGGGATCGAACCTCGAATCTTCCGCTCTCCGGGCGGACGCTCTACCACTAGACCACGGAGGCGGTCCTCAAGCAAGAAAGGAATACCGTATCAGGTTACGCGTATAGATTCAATTCTTATAACCGTCATTTCATGCTACGTAAATGTAATTAATTATACTTGCAAACATTATTCTGATGCCGATTTGAATAACCAAGGAAATCGATCAACATATCTGAGTCAATTAACCGATTTCGTTGTCAGATACCTAGACGCCTTTCCAAGGTTAAAAAATGTGATAAACGGCCTATTCCGGCCTGTCGCTATTGATCCACATATTCTATGGCTTTGTCTCTGGGCCTAGTGTCTATTTCTGGACAAATCTATTGATTTCTTATTTGTTTTCATCAACAACAATACTGTGGAGAACACTATGGGCGTGATATATCGAATCCGTAAACATTTTCAGCTTTGTTTTGTTGGAATATGTACACGTGGGTTATATACGGTTGGTCTATAGTGAATATACATGATTGACAAAAATGGGTAGTCTTGTCTTGTAGCTTAATCCCAACGGATGCTGGTTTGATCAAATAATCGTTGAGTCAGCATAGATTTACTGGACTAGACCATAGGTTCTATAATCTGCGGATAGATTTCCATATTGACATTGTAAGTGTTGACTTAATAAAACATTATGTCAAAAGAAGAAGTGAGGGCACGGGTGGCCCAATGGTCCAAGACGCTGCATTGATCTGGAGTAGTGCCCCTTAGTTGTGACAGGATCCGCTGATCGTGGGTTCGAATCCGTGATTCGTACTCACTCACTCACTCACTGGACGAGAGAATAGTCACGATTTTGTAATGTCTGCTAAAAGTTCATACACACACGCTATCTGTCAAATTATCTTGTACCTGCTTGTATTTCTCTTCTCTCTTCATTATATGATGCTGTCACATTAAAACTGGCTACATATGTTAAAAATGCAATTTCTCTTAGAGACGAATTGTTAAACATTCAAATATATCCAACTATGTTTGTTTTTGTTTGCTGTTTAATGTCGCACTCAGAAATATTCCAGCTATATGACGGCGGTCTGTAAATAATCGAGTCTGGACAAGATAATCCAGTAATTTGCATCATGAGCATCGGTCCACGCAATTGGGATACGATGACATGCACCAACCAAGTCAGCGAGCCTGACCGCCCGATCCCGTCTGTCGCCTCTTACGATAAGCATTGTCGCCTCTTCACGGGTCTCCAAGATGTAAAACTACTCAGATGTAACTGTTATGTATGGGGGCCTTAAATGAAATAAAAATATTTAAATTTGACTTTGCGACCAGCCTGACACTCACAACCCAGTGGGCGACATTGTGGCTCAAGGAGCAACTAATACACGCGTATACGCGTTCCCTGGCAACCACCCATCCGTGTGCTATCCATTCTGCGAAGCCATAGTGACCTGATTTCTGTTATGGTAAATTCCTATACGATAGGTCTACACGTGATCTATTCTGCTTCGGCATCCCGTGGGTCGGTCGGTTGGTTGGTTTGTTGTCGAACGCCGCACTCAGCAATGTTCCAGCTATATGACGGCGGTCTGTAAATAATCGAGTCTGGACCAGATAATCCAGTGATTAATATCATGAGCATCGATCCGCGCAATTGGGATACGATGACATGCATGAACCAAGTCAGCGAGCCTGACCACCCGATCCCGTTAGTCGCCTCTTACGACAAGCATAGTTGCCTTTTACGGCAAGTATGGGTTGCTGAAGACCTATTCTAACCCGGACCTTCACGGGTAGGCGTCTCCTTGGGAAAGTGACTATGTTCACCAGTGAATGGGTACCCGGTAGGAAGAGAGGTTGTTAACCTTCTAGCGCCTAACAGGCAGCTTGGTTTGTATACTCCCCAGGGAGCTGAGAATTATTCTTGAGTGTTCACTGATTCAGTGGCCGGTGTAATAATAGCGCTTTGAGCATGCCCCTGAGTGGTGTGGAAATATGCGCAATATAAACAATCCTATTATCCTACAACAAAACACCTAAAGATCTTAACTGGTGTAATTCTGCAATTCAAACCCGCGACCAGTGGATCAGTACACGACTAAGGGACACAACTCTGGTGCGCTCTGAGCATGTCTGGCATGTAAACAGTGAATACACAAATGGACTATTATTATTAAATCTAAACTTTGGAAACTTGAATAATAAAGCTAATAAGCAAGATTCGTTCGGGCTGCCTAGAATTGTAGACAATGCATTTAAGATTTAAGGAGGTTTTTAAGCATACGCATAACTAAACGAATTTCGATCTGGTAGGTTAAAACATAATTAATAAATTAAGTAAAACTGTGTTCATGGCACCGATTTAACGTCATGTTTTATTCAGCAACGAAACAATCAATATCAATCGTATAATTTGTATTTCTTCTGAATATATGTAATAATAATCATTCCAAGGAGAGGAGACCCGTGAAGATCAGGGTTAGAATAAGTCTTCAGCAACCCATGCTTCTCTAACGGGATCAGGCTCGCTGACTTATTTGATGCTTGTCATCGTATCCCAATTGCGTAGATCGATGCTCATGATGTCAATCACTGGAATGTCTGGTCCAGAATTGCTCATTAACACACTACTTTCATAAAGCTTGAATATTACTGCGTGCGGCGTTAAACTACAGC